ACACAATCACAATCACAAATCACACACACAATCACAATTACACACACACAGAGTCACACACACACAATCACACACAATCGCACAATCACACACAGACACAATCACAATCACACACACACAGACACAATCACAAATCACACACACAATCACAATTACACACACAGAGTCACACACACACAATCACAATCACACAATCACACAATCACACACATAGTCAGACACAATGACACAATCACACACAATCACATGCAATTGCACACAATGACACAATCACGCACACACAGACACAATCACAATCACAAATCACACATACAATCAAACACAATCACACACACACAATCACACGCACACAATCAGACACACAATCAGACACAATCAGTCACACAATCACACACACACAATCACAATTACACACACAGACTCACACACACACAATCACACACAATCACAATCACACACACAATCACACACAGTCAGACACAATGACACAATCACACACACACAGACACAATCACAATCACAAATCACACACACAATCACAATTACACACACACAGAGTCACACACACACAATCACACACAATCGCACAATCACACACAGACACAATCACAATCACACACACACAGACACAATCACAAATCACACACACAATCACAATTACACACACAGAGTCACACACACACAATCACAATCACACAATCACACAATCACACACATAGTCAGACACAATGACACAATCACACACAATCACATGCAATTGCACACAATGACACAATCACGCACACACAGACACAATCACAATCACAAATCACACATACAATCAAACACAATCACACACACACAATCACACGCACACAATCAGACACACAATCAGACACAATCAGTCACACAATCACACACACACAATCACAATTACACACACAGACTCACACACACACAATCACACACAATCACAATCACACACACAATCACACACAGTCAGACACAATGACACAATCACACACACACAGACACAATCACAATCACAAATCACACACACAATCACAATTACACACACACAGAGTCACACACACACAATCACACACAATCGCACAATCACACACAGACACAATCACAATCACACACACACAGACACAATCACAAATCACACACACAATCACAATTACACACACAGAGTCACACACACACAATCACAATCACACAATCACACAATCACACACATAGTCAGACACAATGACACAATCACACACAATCACATGCAATTGCACACAATGACACAATCACGCACACACAGACACAATCACAATCACAAATCACACATACAATCAAACACAATCACACACACACAATCACACGCACACAATCAGACACACAATCAGACACAATCAGTCACACAATCACACACACACAATCACAATTACACACACAGACTCACACACACACAATCACACACAATCACAATCACACACACAATCACACACAGTCAGACACAATGACACAATCACACACACACAGACACAATCACAATCACAAATCACACACACAATCACAATTACACACACACAGAGTCACACACACACAATCACACACAATCGCACAATCACACACAGACACAATCACAATCACACACACACAGACACAATCACAAATCACACACACAATCACAATTACACACACAGAGTCACACACACACAATCACAATCACACAATCACACAATCACACACATAGTCAGACACAATGACACAATCACACACAATCACATGCAATTGCACACAATGACACAATCACGCACACACAGACACAATCACAATCACAAATCACACATACAATCAAACACAATCACACACACACAATCACACGCACACAATCAGACACACAATCAGACACAATCAGTCACACAATCACACACACACAATCACAATTACACACACAGACTCACACACACACAATCACACACAATCACAATCACACACACAATCACACACAGTCAGACACAATGACACAATCACACACACACAGACACCTTCCTCCCGCCGCGGTCAGGCACAGGGAGCAGGGTATTTCCAGCCGGGGAGGAGGAACTGGGCTCTTCCCCCAAAAGCTGGCGGTGGTCGTCTCTCTCTTCCCCCAGCTCTTTGTCTGCGCCTCTCGCCGGGGGGGTCAGGCTCATCTCTGGCAGGAGAGTGTCCCC